AGTTTTTATTAAAAAAATTAAACTTTTTAATAAAAACACAGGCAAATTTGCCTGTGTTACAATTTAAGGGATAAGACTTAAAAAATAAAACTTTATAGAGATTAGTCAGATATAGGTACTATATAGTAACCATGTGATGCTATACTTAGTATTCAAAAATAAGCTAGCTTATCTTTAAACACTAGCTATGCTTTGTTAATAGTATAACAATAACTATAGATAGAAATTAATACTGTAATAATATACTGTATATACATTTTACAATTATATAAATAATGATAAATAAAGTTGTAGTATAACTGTTTTTAAATATATATATATATAGCAACACAAATTACTTTTTAAGAAAATTCAAAAAATCTATTTTATTTACTGTATAACAATAGTTTACTTATTGTCATGAATGATGCTAAAATTGGATAATGCTGAAATTCACATGATTATAATGATCTCTGCTATTATATAGTAAAAGTTAAAAAATATGTTTAAACTAGATTTAGTATTAAGTAAACCTACTTTTGTGTATTAACAAAAGTTGTTCTTCAGATTGAGATAATTCTAATAATAGTAAAATTATAAAAAACGACCTACTAGATTATTTGCAATAGTTCTTCAAAGTTTTAAAACATTTGTTTATATTTATTTATATAATTTGCAAGTTATAAAATAGCAGATGACCTAGTAGATCATTTTTGATGATTTACTATCATTAGAATCATCTCAATCTAAAGAACAACTTTTGTTAGTATATGAAAGTAGATTTACTAAATACTAAATTTAGTTATAATATAATTTTTATTTTTTATTATATAATAGCAAAAATCATTATGTAATCATATGAATTTTAGCATTATCTAATTTCACAATCATTCACAATACTTATTAAAGTAAACTTTATTTTCTACTTATAGCATATATAATAGCTACCAATAAACTTTTTTTCATATTATTTTATAATCTAAAACATATATAAGAAAATTCAAAAAACTAGTAAAGTTAGTATTAATAGTAACAATACAATTTTTTTTTTTTATATCAATCTCTATATACCTATTATTTAATTAAATAGCAATAAACATACTCTCAAATATAATACTTGGTTAGATTTTTTTATTTAATTTAATACAACTTCTAATTACATTTTATACAAGACTAAAGGTCTATAACTTTTTTTGATAAAGTCTAGATTGAAAATAAATTAACTTTTATAATATAGATAAAATATTTTATTGTATCTTAATATAATAACTATATTTTAACTAATAAAAAAAAAAAAACAGATCTTACTTGATAAAAAAAAAAACTTTTAATTGTCTATTTAAATAGTTTATTACTAGCTGCTATTTATAATTTACTAGATTATTTATTTAAACACTTGGATTTTAATCTAGTTTACAATATAGCTTTAACTTCTAATTACTATAAGAGAAGTGTTATTTATCATTTGATTTTTTTAGCAGAGAAGTGGGTGCCAAAATATCTTGCTAATAGATTACATGTATATATGTTTATATATAATCGTAATTATTTGAGAGAGGGGAAATTTTACTATTTACAAAAAATCAGCTGATAAATGACACTTCCCTAACTAGTAGATTTGGATATTGCATTGGATCTTAGAACTAGTTTATCCTTGAAATAAATCTGCCAGAGTGGTATATATTCCACACATGTATTTATCTAGTTTTCAATAACTGTCGCGAATCATAATGAGATTGATTAAAATAAATAAGGGTTTCTATTTAACCCTTTAAAACCCACTTACGTATACTTGTTTATTATAAACTCTAACCCAAAATTAACCTCTAACCCTAACCCCTAAAATGTACCTCAAAAAATTTTTATTTTCGGTGGCTTGTCTACAATTAGCGATGCTGGTTGTGTGTTGACCTTGACAACCCATAATTTAATTATTGCCCTAACTGAGTCATCCATTCAATCACATATTCATAGTTTTAAAATGAAACTCTTTATTTCTTAAATCAAATTATTTGGTCAACGAAAAAACAATTTACATGTTATTATTACGCGTTTATGCTTGTTTAGCCAGTATCGGTATCAGAATACATATGCTTATAACCCTGCATTTTTTTGATTGGTTAAAACTATATTCGTTTCAGTAGAAATCCATCCCGAGGTTCCCAATTCTAGTAATTCTAGTCAACAACAGTGGTAATATAACACATTCATTTTCTGTATCAAAATTATTAGATTGGATATCAAATAAGGATAGGTACAGTACGTATATACGAACGTAGCCAGTTTATTGTTATTATATTATATTCATCAAGTGTTAAAATCCTCTTTTATGTAGTGGTGCCGTAATAGATACGTACGTAAATACCAATCATACTAACTATAAATTTGTAATCTAAAATAAAATTAATACAACTCTAGTTTACTATAAATACATAAAAAACATTTTAAGTCCAAAAAAAAAAAAGAGACTATATCAAAGAATTAAAAATTAAGAAGTAACAAGAATTGGATAACAAAACTCATAAAAATTGGAGTAAACCCAAAGTCATTAATCCTATCATTAAAGCAGAGCTACTTGATAATGAACTAGCATCAGATTTTTGACCATTACTATTAGATTTTCCGTCACCGGAAGGATTGGAATTATTGGAACCGGTAGCGGTAGGATTTTTATTTGTTGTATTTTGAACTGGTACACTTGTATCCACATAAGCACAAGATGAGTTAGTGCACAAACAAGCATTTCCAATTGGATCCCACCAAACAGTATCACAATTGGTTGGCAGTCTGTGTCTATCACCACCTAAGAAAGTATTATAGAAATTTTTTTTAGAAACATAATGTAACTAAGACAAAAAATAAAAAAAGAAAAATTTGAATGAACATACCTGGGGGAACAGGATTATCAAGCGTAATATCAGTGCTTGGACAACCATAACATGTACTCCATGAACCATTAGGGAAATTACAATTTTCTAAAAGACCTTCGTCAGTTAAGCCATTACAAATCTTTTTGCCAATATTTGGAGCTTGGCATTTGAATGGAGCATAATCTTTAAGTTGACTTGCGGGAACAGGATTTTGCATCCAGGTGAGAAGTTGTTGTGAAGTTACAAACCACACATTTGGTTGAGCTAATGCCCAATCTAAAAATTCTTCAAGCAACGCAATCAATGTAGCATTATCTGAATATAAAAAATAAAGTATTATAAGTTTTAATATAGTTTAAAAACAAAGACACAAATTTAGAAAAGTAAATATTATTACCTCTACCAGGAATGGCAAGTTGAACAGGGTGAATATAAAGACCTAGGTTGTAAAAAGGGGTAAAAAAAAATCAAAAAAAGTAATAGAAAGATTAACGAGCAGAAATAATCAAAGAGCTAAATAATATTTACCAAATGGGGTTTTTCCATGTTGAAGATGATAATTAAAATTATCTTGTAACCATTTTTTTTACAGTGTCGGTAGAATTACTCTCGAGGTATGGATCCATTAAATGGGCTATACCAGCATCATCTAAGAATTAATGATAGCATTAGATTGTTTAAATGTTAAGGAAACGAATTTATATCGATAATGAAATGTATTGATTTGATATTAATATATATATATATATATATTGTACACATACCGATAATGGCAGCCATTGGAATTTCAAAGAAACCAGGATGTACTACTTTATCACAGAAACCTGTTGAACTACAATCATGAGCAAGACCATAGTCTAAAGTATAAGGCCAGGACGCATCCTCACGCTTTTTTAAACATCAAAAGATTTAATGATAGTAAAAAAGAAAAATTGAATTGACAAGATTGAACCAAATTGTATTTACCAATGCTGTAACACTCGAATCATATTGGAAGCCTAGTTTTGAAAGAGTTGCAAAAGTATCCACTGAATAATTTAGAAATGGACTATTAATTAAAGATAAATTGTTAATAGTTGAATAAAAGAGTCCTTGACTACAAAACGTAAAATGAAGTAGCAAACGTACGCGCGAAATCCGCCAATTTTGGAATTTGGAAGACCCGCAAATGTATTGAGCACCGTTTTACAATTAGTAATTTCTTCTATAAAAATATATATAATATATATACTTAAGTATTTATATCAAACTTGATAATATATAGAAAATAACAAAAATGATTTACGTTCGGAAGGATTTGGAACATGGGTAACGGTATGATCGGCAACTTCATGGCCATTGGCATACCATTCAGTGACCATGGACTGGTTGGTGTATTGAATGCTAACATAATAAGTAGTTTTTATAGGACATCTAAAGACAAAAAATTCATAGTGGCGGTATACGTAGGATTAAAATTCATGTTATGTCATTAATCACGTGAGAGACGTCACATACATACCCATTAGGATTTTTCCTACTTCCCAGTAATTGGTTTACAACTAAAAGAGGATACAGAATTATCAGCATATACATATGTTTCTGAATCACCTTTTATACTAAAGCAAATGAATAGGTAAATACCTGAGATAGTAGTTTGTTGAACAGAATCGTCTAAATAAAAAAAAAAAAAAACGGTCAACCAAAAATAACAAACAGTAAGAAAACGAGAAAGGAATGAGACAAGTATGTAACAAATAAGTACCAAAAGTAAACATGAAAAATTGTGGGGTTTCATCAAGAGATAGACTGGCTCCGGTAAAAGTTTGGCTAGAACAAAAACATTTTGGAGGTTTACAAGCTGTAGAATCACAAGAATAACTTTCAACGCCTATTAAAAAAAAGCTAATGCCAAGAAGTGTGTAAACCAAAGCCAAGAAAAACATTTTAAATGGATTATTTATCATCTTAAAAGGAATGAAAAATATAAAATAAGAATTCAATCGTATTTTTCATGTACAAAAAAAATCAAATTAAAAGAAAAAAAGAAGAAGAAAAAAAAAAAAAAAAGAACAGAGTAAAGAAAAAATTAGGGGTTTTTTTTCTTAAATAAATTTGTGACCCAAATAATAACGTTGATCAAAGACAATAATATAACAGATTTATTTTATGATTAGAGTTAATCCACTAATCGAATAAAGTTTCTACCGGTATAAAATTTTTTAAATTTATCATGTTACGGTTTAATCATCTAATATTTGGTAAATATAAAAAGTTCAGACGATTTACTTTCTAACTATAGAATATGGGAAGCAAATTATTTTAATGTTGAAAATAATTTTTCGGTAGTGATCCCGGTCCACCCGAGCTTATAGATAGATTCAGATTTTATATATAAACCAGAAAGTTATTATTATTCGAAATTTTATAAAATGATATTCCTGTGTCTCATAACGATTGAACACAATGCATAAATAAACATGCACGTTAATCTTCAAAATGCATTAATATTAATTTGTTTTAGGAATCTTATATAGAATATATTTACAGAATATATATAGAATATATACTGTTGTTCTATTTATAAACCAATCCCGTATTTTAGCATATATTATGAGAAAAAATCAGCGGTTTATAAATTCAATGCTAAAAAAAGATGGATCAAAAAAAAAAAAACCAACCTAATTTTTTTTTTTTTGGAAAGTATTAGACCTATTTTTAAAGATATATAGTTTACAAAAAGTATTTATTGATATTAATCAGAATATTTGAGTTGGTCGTAGTTGATTAAGCAGTATAACAATAAAGACAAGTAGAAATATGTATATGTATATTGAATTAGCGATATATTACTATTACTATGAATTAATACATATTATTTGTTACTACTCACTTTTTAATTTAAATAATTTCAGGAGTAAAATCATCGTGTTCGCCACATTAATATGCGAGATTATTGCTCTGACCATTCAAGTGGTTTAGTAAAGATTAGACCAATGGCCAAATATTCTGTTATTAGTCAAATAATTGACTGTGTGACTGAAATTTATTTGATAATGCTGTATTATTACTGCATTAATGAAAACCGAATAATTTAGTATGAATACAATAATGCATCTCCTTTCACACAAGAAGATGTATGTGAAACATCAGCGTAAATCATCTAATGTCTTACTAAGGATCTGAAAGCAGTACATGCTGAGAAATTCAGTATATGCTGAGAAATTCAATGCTATTACAGTACTAAGGATCCTGAATATAAACCTCCAGGAGGAAAAAAAACAACAAATATATATATATATATAATTCAAATGTTTTTTCAAAAAGTGCAATTCATGAAAAAATAACATCAGTCCTTGAATAATCCAATTCTTTTAAACTATAAACAGTACATAGCGGTCTGTCATTAATGCGACTCTATATAAAGAAATTTTAAAAATTTATTTTTTCTTTAAAAATAAGTAAAAAGTTGATATGCATTGCATTGCTTCATATGCTGCTATATTCACTTCTATTGAAACTCTAAAGTTCAATTCTGTATGAATTCTATATAAATGACGCCAAGAGAAAATGGGTCTTCAAATATAAATTTTATGAGTGTTTCCTTGGTTTCACACATATGAAAATAGTGTCATTAACTGAAAGGATTTTATTTTCTAGTAAGCTTGGATAAGTTACACCACTATATTTGAAATCGGTTAACAGACGAGACAAATTTAGATTACTTAAAAGACTATTTTTTATTTCACGTTTTAAGAAATAGTATTTAATACTTGTTGACCTAAATAAATTAATTCTTCAATTTGCATCTGTTGATTTTCTTGAGAAATTATTTTCTTTTGATCATTATAAAATGAAATTGCTACACATTTAATACTTTTTATGACTTCCATTTCGAGCTCTTTATAAGATGGCGAAGCGCCTGATATAACGAGGAGACAAAATAAAAGCGTATTTGCTAAAAGTATTGTTTGAATTTCTTGTTCAGGCGAATATCCTTCCAATTTTAGTTTGGGACCTGCGTAATGATGGTTACCAACATATTAGCCATTTTGAAAATAAATAGTGTTGAACCTTGATATATTCATTCTTAATATGTGGTTCTATAATTAGAAACTTTTCTGTTGCTCCACTTTATTTAAAGCGAAGTGTGTAAATTTTAATTTTTGATCATCGGTAAAGATTAAATGCATCGCCTATAACTTTATCCTAATATTATATTAATTCTTAATGAATTTCGTGTAACTATTCCGTGTTAGATGCTGTCTCAAAAAGAAATACCTTTATAATAATCGCAAATTCATAAAAAAAAAAGAAGCTTTGTAACTTTATAGGTATAGGTACTACCTGAAATGCAAGCTACGTTTTTTTTTTATTAATCCCCCGCGATCTTGGCATAGTGATCGGGGGATTAATGAATAATATCCTACAGGTAAGAACGTTGATGTTATACGACAGATTTTTCACACGGTGTGCAACATATAAAATAATAAATTTACAATAC